TAGCTGTAAGCATGGCCGCCTGTGGTGTTGGGGTGTCGCATAACAAGGTCTGTGTTGCTGGTTTTAACCTACCTCGTTTCGGTTGGGGTTTGTTTTTTTTTGGTTTGGTTTCGGGTTTTCTTCCGTTCCGCTGTCGATCACAGCGCTGTTACCTCCAGCGACATATAGAGAGCTTAACTGGCAATCTTGGTGTACTCAGTAACGATGGCTTTATTAAAAAATGATTAAATCAACAGGACTTGGTCAAACTTGAATCTTTATCAAGGGTAAGAGGCAACGTGGGGTGGTGGGGACCGGATGGGGTGAGCCTCCCTCCCCCAAGCAGTGCCACAGGGATTGCTGCCAGTGGGACACCTGGTGGGATGCAGTGTCCAGAGGAACACAGGTGAGATGTGGGTTGTGAATGCCTTCCTCAGGCACTGGGCACCCTCCTGCTGGGCCAGCACAGCCTGCAGAGTGTGGGGACAACCATGGGACAACAGCACTGGGATACAAATCCCATACGAGTCCCATCACGGACACTGATTGCCACCAGCTCTTTATATTTTCACTCCGGTTAATATATAAACCAAATCCCAGAACTTCTATTATGTTGCAAATTGATAACTAGTTGGGGGAGTTTTGGTCCTCCTTCAAGTGAGAAATGCAGAGCTTTGGATGATTTTGTATTGTGGGTTTTTTGGGTACAGTGACAATAGAACAAAGTCATGTTTAAATGCAAGGTAGTTTGTGAATGTATTTCTTTTAGTCTTAGAATCATTTGAAACAAAAATCACAGGAAACCAATATTACCACAGTCTTGTCTATGGTGTGTGTGTGTATGGAGCTATCACAGAGCAAACCATTTCTGATGCCAACCACAATAAAACACAAAGAACTTCACCATTAAGCCATGCCTTTTATGTTTGGGTAAATGAAACTTTGGGTGTTGGAGGACGTGGAGGTAAAGCAGCTTTTCAGGGCTCCCAGTCATGACGCCCTTTGCCTGGAGGCTCTTGGGAGAGCAGTGCTTCGGAGCAGGATGAGTGGGGGGGGACAGGACATGTCCCCTGCGATGCTGCCCAGCCACAAACCCTGTTTCTGGGAGTTACGACCCAGGAAAGGAACTTTGTTCAGCTAAGCAGTGCTGCAGGAGGAGAAAGCAATGTCTGCATGCAGGAGTCATTCAAGCCAGTTGCAGATTCAGCTATTTACAGATTGCTGTGAAATGCTGGATGAACTTCAGGGACGAGTCATGGTCAGTGGAAGAAAAGCCCCAAGAGCTGGGGCAAGGCCCCAGGTTCTCCCCAGCACCCTGCAGGCACTGGGGAGGTGCTGGATATGACTCCCAGGCAAAGGATGCTCAGAGGTAAGTCTGTAGCAGCTATTGGTGGGAACTGAATGTTTTCAAACCTGTTCCAGAATCATTATCAAATGGCATTTTTCTGTTTGTGAGATGGTTTGGGGATTGATATTATGTATCTTGGGACAGAAGGGGGATGCTCAAAGTCACCCTGGCCCTGGCCCCAGAGCTGTGCTGTTAGCTGGAAATGGTTGAAGTTATGCTGCAATTCCTTGTCTCAACATGAGACCACATAAGGTTCTTTGCTGCTCCTGCAACAGTTGGATGCTATGTAACTTGGTTCAACACGAGCATCGCCTAGGCCAGGAGTGTCCGAATCTGCCTGTTCCTGAAGGTGTGGGGTGGACTTCCTCTTGGGGTGCCCAGGATAAGCCACTCACCTGGGCTCAGCTCCACTGAGGGGATCCAGCAGAGATGTCCTCAGCACCAAGGATGTGGTTCCAGGTGTAGAATGTCTGTTGCAACCACTACTGTCCTGTGGCATCTGTGTTCTGCCCCGTGTTCTGCTGCAGAGCTGCCACTTCCCATCCAGGCTGTCATGACCTGCTGCAGAACAGGTTTGCTGGATTTGCTTCACAGTTTTTCTTTTCCCAGAGATACTGCACTACCCAGAGCTGAAGAGTGGGAAGGGGCCCATTAAATTCCCCTGATTTAATGCTACCTGTTTTAGCTGGGTGGGGACAGGGCCATCACACCAGTATCTTTACAGCAGTGCTGTAAATGCACCAAATTCTCTCCTAAATGTGTTTTATCAGCCTGGAGCTCCTGTCCCGTGGGTGGCCCCAACACCACTGCCTGCCCTGGCTGCCGTGCTTTGTTAAAACAGATGAAATGTCATCATCTTTCTGTGCCAGCCACTGGTGTGCCACATCAGCCTGCTCGTACCTGGAGAGCCAGAGCCTTGTGGACTAGACCGTCCTTTGTCTTGGATTTGGGATTTTTTTTCAATTTTATGATGTTTATTTCCCCTTTTTTTTTTTGGTAGCATCAAAGCTGCCTCTGAATGACCCAGTGGTAGTAAAATGAGTGTGAAAATCACCCCAGCCACAGGGAAAGCCTCACTGTCGTGGAGTCTAAATTCATTCCACTGAGGTGACAGCATGTTCAGCTGCTCAAAAGCAAAGCCCAACCATAAACTTTAACCCCACTGCCTTTATCACAGAGCATTAGATTATCAACAACACCAATCACAGTAAACACAACACAGAGCAGGCAATAAGGGTGGCGATTCTGCCTAACATTATACACAGTTCTTACACTTAATTCTTTATATAAAGCATTAGCAATAATGCAGGCACTGTTGTTTACCAATCACTTCACCACTACCTGAACAGGCTCACCAGCCATGGGACAGGTCAGTGTTGACTGAGCCACTATCTGCACCTACGGGCTGTGGTCACAACCAGCTGTCAGATGTGCAAGAGATTTGCTGGGCTGATCATTCATCCTGGTGGAGCCAGCCTGGTGCTCTAACCATTGTGATTCTGTTTTCCAAGCTAAGTTAGACCCTTTGGGAAGTGACTGCAGTGGGAGGCAGATCACACACTGACCTTTCCCATCAAGCTATCTTCTGCTCATGGGCACATCCACATCCAGGCCCCTGTTCAGAGAAACACAGGGGCTGGAGTCTGTTAGTGCCACTCAGAGCTAAAGGTGTGCTTAAACTGCCCGGGATCAGGCTGTGGAGTGTGTCACAGCCCAGCTGGCATCAGCCCAGGCCTTGATGGGAGAAGTGAGGCAGCCCTGGCACCAGCTCACAGTATCCAGCCTGGCAGGGAGGGTAAGAGAGACTGGGGAGGAAGGGGAGAGCCCTGGGATAACTTCATGCCTTTCACCTGCAGACCTGACTGAGGGACACAGGTGGCTGTGGGGCTTCCAGCATCCAAGGTTTCCATGGAAGTGGCCAGGCTGCTCCTGGAAAGGTGACTGATGTTCACCTCTGCCACACCACCACTGCCCCAGCCACTCCTTGGGATTACGGGAGGGTTCAGCTCTGTAAGCAGCAGAGGGGAGGACATGGAACAGCCACCCTGCTCTCTCCTTTTGGTATGTTGATGGCCTTTGACCCCTCCAGCTCCAGAGGGCTGAGAAGAGTGGGGGTGAAGCATCATCCTCTCTTGGCCAGGCACCTGTGTGAAGGCATTTAACCACAGTGTAAAGAAACGGTGCTTGTAAATGCTTGGGTATCCACACAGCGAGCAAACAAACACCACTGGGCAAAGAGCTCAGCTGGAAGGACAAATATTGGGGAAAACTTAAAGAAGCTCAGACTCAGGCCCTCCCCCTCCAGCCACACCAGCCTGAGAGGGGAATGCAGGTGTTGTGGCTGGAATCAACATCTGCTTAATGCACTGAACTTTTATCCTCCAGTTAAAGTTTTACTTCACTGGAGGAGACCAGTGCAAAGATTAGTGGTCTTACACTCATCTTTGTTTTTCTTCTTTTTGTTCTTCCTCAGTAGAAAGTACATTTTGTGCCCATGTGAAGCCTGGCTGACTGAGAGCATCATCCAATGAGTCGCTGTAACTTGGCTGCAGGACCCATTGAGGCTGATCTGGAAGGTAATGGCTTTAATCAGCATTAATCACCTTCCTGGCAGACTCAGACTTCAGCACGTCCCCTGCGGATGCCACCGTCCACCCCCGCCCTGCAGCTCCTCTGGCTGACCATGTCAAGGACAGCAAAGTGAGCCAGAGCAAGACCAGCTCAGACCAGCTTGTGCAGATGTGCAAAGTTCATGAAAACTGAGTGAGCCAAGCCAAAGATATTTGGCAGCATCACTAGTGTTTGCTGCATCCGCAATATTTCACAGAATCAGCAGTATTTGACAGGGCAGCAGTCAGCTCGTGGTGCTGAAAGGCTCAGCATTCACACTGCCACAGGCTTTTTCACAAAACCCTCTGTTATTCTAATATTCTGGGTAATTTTGCTGTTACATCTCCATGTGTTACCTCTCCACATATAGCCATCTCAGGCTGCACATACAGGTGTGCCCTGGCATTACAGCTGTGTGCTGAGGGAGCTCTGTGCATGCGGGTACAGATACACAGAGACCTGTATACATCTGTGCTTATCTGTGTTTGGCTGTGTATGTGATATATACACATATTTTAAAGCAGGTGCTAAGTTCTGTCTAAATAAAACACTTAGTCACTTCCTAGCTGCTTTGCTACATATGCTGGAGAAGTTTCTTCTCCCTAATTCAGCAAGAGGTTTGTGATGCGGTACGTACACCAGTACAGAAGCCAAGGAAGGTGTTGAGCATCTCAAAACAGGCTGAAGAGTGTTCCCAAGTTCCTGGCATGTCACATTCCCAACTGTTTGGCTGAGGGACAGCCCCAAACCAGCCCTGCAGCTGGATCATTTGAATTTCCCAGGTCCACTCTATGTCTTTGCGGGTCTCCTGTTGTTTCGTATGTGTGCCCAAACACGGGGATTGGTGGTAGCTGCTCTGAGACAAGCAGTGGCCAAATAACGCATGGAAGGCTTGGGTTTCTCATTAACTCCAGAGCTGATATAGTCCCATCTCTCGGAGCACCAGCCAGTTTTGCTGCCTCCATCCCACCCCTGCTGTCCCTTCTTCCCTGCCCAAGCCCTCGCCTCACTCTGCAGCCCAGGACAGGGACTGCTCCCGGGAGGACAGCGGAGGAGCTGCGGGATGGATGAGAAAAGCAAAATGCAGGCAGAGAAGGTAACCATAGCTTGTGGCATTTTTGCACTAGAATTTCTGCAGGAGCCCAGCACTGAGCACTGGCATTTATTGCTTGCCAAGACCAAAACAAAAGAAAATCCCCTCCCTTAGTTAATTGCTCTCTGATGTTTGTGCACTGGGCACAGGGGCAAGAGGGTCAAGGGATTACTTTTTATTTTTAAGAGTTACATTGGTTCGTTGGATAACTTCGATGTAATGAAATAATGATTGAAGCAGAGCTGCTGAAAATCACCATTTTGGTGATTTTTCTCCCCGGCTGTTGTGATGCTGGGGATGGGGCAGAGCATGCTGCTGCTGCCTGCACTGCCATACCAGGCAGTGCTCTGGCCCCTGTGAGCTCCAGGCCAGGACGTCCAGCACAGCAGGGAGAGCTGGACTGCTCATTGTGGGGAATGCTGCTCTGGCCTGGGGGCTTGAGCTTGCCCATCCCCAGGGATTTTCCTTCTCCATTGGAGCCAGACAAACCGCCTGTGCAGCAGCAGCAGCAGCCTGGGATGCTGCTGTCCCGGACAGCTGAGCAGCAGGGTCCCTTGGGACAGGGATGGGGTGTAGGTCCCCACATTTGGGCAGCACTAGGACAGCAGGGTGAAGCTGGTCTCTGCTTCCTCCCCCAGCACCTCACGGGAACGCTGGTCCTCTCCGTCTTCACCGCAGTGTTGGGCTTCTTCCAGTATGGCTACAGCCTGGGTGTCATCAATGCCCCCCAGAAGGTAAGCCAAACCTCCCAAGCCATGCATAGCCAAGGGATGAGGGTTTCAGGGCAGCAAGGTTGGTCTGTCCCTCGCAGAAGCCCTTTGGAGGGCTCTGTCCCTTCCCTGGCCACTACCTCCTGCAGCATAAAGTTCCTGTGCCAAGGCAGCAGGGTGAGTGAACAGCAAGGAACCTCATTGCCACCCCCAGGGAAAGGAGCAGGGCTCTGCACGCTGGGGACCATCTCCACTGCAGCACAGTCCCTGTGCCCAGGTTGAGGGGCTGCACCTCTGCGTGGATGCCGAGTCCAGACACCACACTCACCCTGTCCCTAGGAGTGGGGATGCTCTGTATCTGCCCTTGCAGCCCTTCCCCACTGGGGTCTGGGTGTTGGGGAGCTGGGGAGGAACCCAAGATTTCCCCTCTGCAGAACCTGCAATGAAAAGCTTTTCCTGGGGCAGAAAAAAAAAACCAATAAAACGGGTTGGGGTGGTTATAGATCTGAGCTAACAGTGTTTTTCTTCTTTGCCTGTCACAGGTGATAGAAGCCCACTACGGGCGCGTGCTGGGCATCACACCCCTGGACAGACACACCACCAACGCCTCTGGGGAGGATGGCATGGACCCCCAGGCTGGCACTGAGGGCACACGTGCACCTCTGGCCAACACTGAGGAAGACCTTGCTGCCTCCATGCACATCCTCACCATGTACTGGTCCCTCTCCGTCTCCGTGTTTGCCATCGGCGGAATGGTCTCCTCCTTCACCGTGGGCTGGATCGGCGACAGGCTCGGGAGGTGAGAGCTGTGTGTGCTGTGACTCTGTGCCACAGCCCAAGCCTTTTGGTTTGATTTTTCCCACAGAACCATTTCCTCCCTATAGAAATACAATTTATGCTATTTTTCCTAATTTATTAAAAAAAAAAAAGCTCCACAAATTGCCAAAATCCTGTTCCAACCACCACAGAGCTCTGGCTGATTAAAATCCACAATTATAAATCAGACATTTCATTGCAACTTTTAGCACTTCAGACAAGCAGCTGATGAGCAGCCTTGATTAACTTCTGAATTCCCCCTTTTCTTCCCCAGGCAAATGGGAGAGGAAAGCATCTGAATGGCATTTGCACAGGATGTATATGATTTATAACAGAATTTTAACTACTCTGATTGCACCCCTGCCCCATATCTTTCAGTGCCCAGGATCATTATTTTTTCCCCCTGTGGCTGCTGATTAAGTCACTTAATATCTCCACTTGCATGTCGTGGTGGCTGCTCTGGCCGAGTGAGGTGCCAGAAGGAGCTGTGCTGCTGCTGCCTTGCAGGGTGAAAGCCATGCTGGTGGTGAACATCCTCTCCATCATTGGGAACCTCCTGATGGGGCTGGCAAAGTTTGGGCCATCTCACATCCTCATCATCGCCGGGAGAGCTGTCACGGGGCTGTACTGCGGTGAGTCCAGTCTGGGCCAGGCACTTTCAGCTCCTTGGCAGGGTGCTAGGGGCTCCAGGGCTGCACTTCAGAGTTTCCTGTATTTTTTAACCTCTGTTTAAGTTCAGAAGGGGTTTCACAGGTGGGAGCTTCCCTCTTGTCCCTATGTCTGTCCCTCTTGATTCAGGTTTTGTCCCAGAAGTATTTGGGTTGGTTCCATAATGAAATTGGTTTATTTTATGTATCCTAGAAAGGAGTGAGTTGCTCTGTACCTCCAGGCTGGGTCTTACTGTTGGCTGCTGTAACAGCACATCATTAGCCAGGCTGGTTAACAGGTTTCCCTCTAGACATCAGTGCTGCCTAGCAGACAGCACAGGAGCACTGTACACAGAGAGGATACGACAGGCAGAAAATAAGAAGGAATTACATTAGAACTAGCTTAGAAATAACAGCTCATTATCACTGTTACTGATATGCAAACACAGCACTCTGCTCTGAGGTTTCAAGGCAAGTTTTAAGAAAGCTCTTTGCCCTGTGATAACTTCTCCCAGTAGATGATCTCTGCTCCATGCTCTTAGGTGTGTGTTCAAGTGTAAAGGCTTCCCAACTTGGGGCTCTGGATGTCAGGATATCTCAGCACTTTTCCAAGGTGCAGGTGGTTCCCAGTCAGGCATAAGGTGCTTGGTGGGGTGTGGGATGCAGCACACAGGCTCCATCCTCCTTCCCCTTTTGGGAAATGATTTCTGCTGGCTGCTGAGCTGAGGTCTAGAAGAGGTGACACCTGTGTGTGTTCGGTGCAGGGCTCTCCTCTGGACTCGTGCCCATGTATGTCAGCGAGGTCTCTCCCACGGCCCTGCGAGGAGCACTGGGGACGCTGCACCAGCTCGCGATTGTCACGGGCATCCTCATCAGCCAGGTAAGAAGGAAAGTGCATGTGTCCAGAGGGTGTTTCAGAGGTTAGGGAGACCCCAGTGATACGCTGGGGTGTCGTTCCCCTTTCCACTCCAAAACTCAGCAAAACAATCTGCTCTACTGGGGTTAAACTCCTGCCTTGAGTCAGAGGTGTCTTAACACACACAACTTCTTAAGAAATACAGCATACTTCTGCAAACAATTTTTCCTCTCTCTGAGGAAGTGTTTTCAGCATCTCATCAGTGTCAGGCTGGATCCTGAGCATGAGACCCCTGATAAGCAGGTTCTCAAAAATGGATTCATCAGAGCAGGGAGCCCAGTGCATGTCCCAAGGAGGACCAAGTCACCACAGTGGGGAAAAAAGCCGGCAGAGAGTTGTCCCACAGCATCTGTAATCCAAAGTGTGGCTCATGACATTTCACACCATCTGTTCATTCTCTCCTTGTAAATGTGCATCAAAACTAAAGAAATCAAACTGTTAGGACTGAGAATTGGGATTTGCCTCTAGTCTTCTTCCAGGTTGTCACTTCAAAATGCATAATGGTCAATCACTTTCATTTCTTAGGGTGCAAAATAATCCATTTAAACATGCCTCAATTATTTCAGGTTCTTGGACTAGACTTTCTCCTGGGCAATGATGAGATGTGGCCCCTGCTCCTCGGTCTGTCTGGTGTGGCTGCCCTCTTGCAGTTCTTCCTGCTCTTACTGTGCCCTGAGAGCCCCCGATACCTCTATATCAAACTGGGGAAGGTGGAGGAAGCTAAAAAAAGTAAGACACACATTCTGGGTTTGTCTGAAGTTGGTTTAATGCTATACATAGTATTAAACCCAGAAGGAAAAGCAGGAGACTCACACATTTAACGGTGTGGTTGCTCCATCCCGTGCTCTGAGCTGCTGAGGTACAAATTAGCTCTGGACCAAAAACTGTTGAGATGTTTGCATGGGACTAAGCAGCACTGCTGAGGGATGAGACTTGAGTGTGGTGTCTCAGGGCTGTGACAGAATTGATGTGCTGCTGCCCCTGGCCAAGCAGACACACCTTTGATCCCTGACATGCCAGAGCAAGAGCACACAGCTGTCCAGGTGGCTGGCTTACCATGAGTTTTGGCTAGAGAGATTCTTGTCTTCACTCTACTCCTTATCCCTCACTGAAAATAAAATGTCAATCTGGGTTTTTTTCCTTAAGATCTGAAAAGGCTCAGAGGAAACTGTGACCCAATGAAAGAGATTGCAGAGATGGAAAAGGAAAAGCAAGAAGCTGCTAGTGAAAAGAGAGTCTCCATCAGACAGCTTTTCACCTCTTCCAAATACAGGCAGGCTGTCATTGTGGCACTGATGGTGCAAATCTCTCAGCAGTTCTCGGGAATCAACGCGGTGAGTCTCCCCAAAATGTTTGGCTTTAAAGAAACCCACACTGAGCGTGAAAAGGTGACATTGGCTCTGTCCAAGCCATGCAGGGGTGAAAGAAGTATTTCCCATGACTGCCATGGGCTCCTTGGTCACTGCCGTTGGTGGTGACGGAGGATCTCACTGCCAAGCTGACTCTGGGAGGGCAGGAGGGGAGAAGGGCAGAAGGGAGTTCAGCACAAACCAGCTGGCACAGCAGGTCCATGCTGAGCTCTCCTGTGACCCTCCACCTACCTGAGTTCACCAGCAGTTTGCTCTCCTTAATGACTCTGTGCTCACCCCAGGAACCACAGATTTTCTAGCTATTTGTTGCTAAATAGTTTTTGCATTATGCTGAGATACCATAATCACCATGTTTAACCCAAGAGCATAGAGCCTCATTTTCAAAATCAGCTAAAACCCATATTTTGAAAGTCTGGTGGCAACTTCAGATTGAGACCTCTGTCCCACTGGCTTTCAAAACTCTAGGAGCATTCCCACATCCCAAGGCAGAGCAGCACACAGGTATGCCCAGCCTGGCAGGGCTGAGCCAGGAATGAGCATCCTGTGGAGCCCACCTAGGGGTCAGCCACCCACTCACCTCCTGCCCTTAACATTCACCAGATCAGAATTGCCTTATTGTTGGGGAGGGGGAAATAGGAGTCATTCCAACATAGTGATAATATTTTAAAATCAGGGAAAACTCGGTCATATTAAGATATTTGTTTTTCTGGTGCTAGTGATCTGGATTTCAGGATTAAACATGGACTACATGGAAGAAAACACTTTTAATGTGCAAATTCAGTAGCTTGGGAGGGGAATTTCAACAGGATTTTTAACTCCCTCAGGCTGCTTTGAAAGTTTCAGTTTTAATTATTATAACAAGCCATTAAAACTTGAAAAACTAATCATAATTAAATTACTTCACATCTCAGCCAAGCAAGTGCAACTCTTCCCTCAAGAGAACAAAAAGTTTCACCAGCCCTGTTGCCTAATCCTTCATCCTGATGTATTTTGATAGATCTTTTACTACTCCACAAACATTTTCGAGAGAGCTGGAGTTGACCAACCAGTTTACGCAACCATTGGCGTTGGAGTGGTGAACACAGTCTTCACTGTTATCTCCGTAAGTAAATACTTCTGCCCCCCAGATTACTAAGATATGTAAGGTACAATGTGGTTTTGAAACATGATTTTATTCTGGAACTGGGGCTGGGATTTGCAGTTTTGAAGGGCTGACCCTGAACACCCTATAGGGAAGAATCATTCCTTGGACAAGTCCCGTTTGAAAATTTAAGCCTTGGAATAGAGCCTGTTGCTGTCAATCAGCACTGCTCATGCGTGGAACCTGCATCACTGTATTCAGGGAAGCCCTGAGAAAATTTTCCCCCCAAAATAAAAGTTGCCTGCAATAAAAGTTGCTGCAATTCTGCAAGTCCCATTCTCCCAGGGAGCAGGCAGAGGACAGGGGCTGTGATAGGGAAACCAGCACCTCACAGTCTACCTCTACCTGTTATCTTTCAAACTGTTTTCTGTAGGTACATAGCACCTGCATGACTGATATCCAAAGGCTATTCCACAGCAATAAAAGTAATCCAGCACCTATCCACATCCTATCTCGACATGGCTCTGCAGCAATAAAAGGATGGTTCTGTTTCCACAGACTTTCCCTTCGCTTATATCTCTCCTGAGAGGATTAACACAATTCCTATCAGCAGGCAATCAGTTTTTTATTGTGTCCATTAATGTAAGGTCAGGAAATGCCAAGCCCATTTCCCTCACATCTCTTGAGATGCTCAGGGAGTAAAGAACTTTCACCTACCACAGCACAGAACTGCCTGCAAGGCAGAAATACACAGCTCCAAGAGATTTAGGACAATGAGGAAACATTTTAAACTGACACAGGGCAGGTTTTGATTAGATATTAGGAAGAAATTCTTGACTGTGAGGGTGGTGTGGCATTGGCACAGCTTGCACAGAGAAGCTGTGTCTGCCCCATCCCTGGAAACCATCCTTACTCCACCATGCATGAGATAGGAGGTCTTGGGGTGAACCTGATTTAAAGGAAATCCATCCCAGGCCCCATACTGAGGAGAAAGCATTATGTTTATTGTGAAATGAGGCACAACAGTGTGCAGCTCGAAGGCTGTGGTACTTGCAGCCTGAGGCATTTGCTCTTTGCTTCTTTTGGCCATGAGCTCTTAAAAATTACCAGCTTTGGTCAATAAGTGACAGACCCTGATCAACTGACAGTTGGGTGGACCTTGGCAAAGGGAGAAGGGAGCACAGAGGCTTGCCCTCTGCAACTTCACAAGTTAGCAGGATGAACTGCATCCAGCAAAACACACAGTCTCTTGGAAGCATAAATCACATCCGTAATGGCAGGAAAAGTTGAGCTGCTGGCTAAAGGTGTCCTTTCAAGCAGAGGGGAAGGAGCAGGCAGCCTCAGAGGCTCATGTATGGTTAGGCCAGACCAGCTGCACTGTGCTCTGAAGGCACAAACATCTCCCCACAGGGTATCTGGTATAGACAGGTATCTGTCAAAAGTTGGGTGAGATGACTGGAGTCCACCAACAGTTGTTAAGAAGGGATGAGCTAAGCCTTGTGGTTTCCAGAGAAGCAAGAAGAGTCCGGGAGCAATCCTGACTCCAGCTGCTAGACAACTATCCCTGCCCGAGGATAGGCAAGGTGCAAAGGCCCATGGTGTGACCTGAATCCTGCTACATTTTGAAGACTGATTCTAAACCAATGCAGACCTAGGAAATTTTTTCATCATGAAAACGAAGAGAGAAAGTCAACAGTCAGCAATACATGTGTAGGAAGCAGTGGGGAGTCCTGAGACCTTGGGAATGCAGAGCTCTGAGTGTATGTGGCCTTGCCTTGCCCTTGGCTGCTCAGTCTGGCTCACTAACAGCCACCAGCAGAGTTCCTGATACTTGGTAAGCAGCACATAAATCTCTACCATGAGAGCTAAAAGAGCAGGAAGGCAGTGTGGCAGTGGTAATAGGTTGGTTATTGCTAATGGATTTGATCCTGAGAGCTGTGGTGCTAGAGACTGAGCTGCTGCACATGTTTCTACAGGTGTTCCTGGTGGAGAAGGCAGGCAGGCGGTCCCTGTTCCTGGCTGGTTTGATGGGCATGTTAATAAGCGCCGTGGCCATGACAGTTGGACTTGTCCTCCTGGTAAGAATTTCTCTCCATCTTTTCTCCATGGTGTGCAAACAAGAGAAGACCCCATCAAAATCCACTGGTGCAAGCCCCTGTCACAGTATAGCACCAAATAAGGGGCAGCCTCCTGTACTGAGCACCCTGGTTATTAAAGACAACACCATTCTGCCTCATCCTAGCCACGCTGCAGGCGAGGAGAGGGTTCAAAGGAACAGCTGAGCTGATGGCTGTGAACTCCTGCAAAATAGCAACACAGGCACCACATGCCCAGCCAGCACCTGGCATGAGAGTTTAGAGCCTTAATTATTCCTGTCCAGTCCCCACTTGTCTGAATAGTAAGGAATTTCTGAAAAAGAAGCCTAATTAAAGTAATTGGTGATAATTAACAAGAGTTGTGTTGGGACTAAAACACCACCCTCTCACAGAGCCAGTTTGCCTGGATGAGCTATGTCAGCATGGTCGCGATCTTCCTCTTCGTCATCTTCTTTGAAGTGGGGCCTGGGCCCATCCCCTGGTTTATTGTAGCCGAACTGTTCAGCCAAGGCCCACGTCCTGCTGCCATCGCCGTCGCTGGATTCTGCAACTGGGCCTGCAACTTCATCGTGGGAATGTGCTTCCAGTACATAGCGGTAAGAAATCCCTCAAACCTTGCAGAAGAATGGCTGGCACCATCACCAGGATGTGGTTGTGCCTGCCAGATCTCCATCTCCTAGTCCCGCTGGGCACCTCAGCCACCCGGGGTAGGAAGGAGAAGCCACCCCTGCAGTGCTGATGGTGTCCCCTGTTCCGACTTCCCTCACTGCAGGATCTGTGTGGACCGTACGTGTTTGCCATCTTCGCGGGTCTGCTCCTCGTCTTCTTCCTGTTTGCGTACTTCAAAGTGCCGGAGACGAAGGGAAAGTCCTTCGAGGAGATTGCGGCTGTGTTCCGCCGCAAGAAGCTCTCAGCCAAAGCCATGACTGAGCTGCAGGACCTGCGAGGCGGTGAGGAGGCATAGACATCGCCAGGCACCCAGGGAGGAGGGACTGGGCATGGACCTCCTTCAAGTGCCACAGGAAGAACATTGGGCAAAAGTCTCATTTCACACAAACCTTGCAGCTGGCAGACCAGGAGGATCCACCCGTTGGATTCGTTCTGGCTGCCATGGCTCACACCTCCCAGCCACAGGTTTTACTCTGAGACACTTGGTACATCTGGGCTACAGGAAGAGCCAGGGAAAGGACAGGAGGAATATGTTTCATGTGTCTCCATGCCCTGCTGGAAGAGCCCAGTGGGATGATGATCTTACCAGCTGGCAAAGCAGGGCCATCGCTCTCGTGGAATGAAGGAAGGAGGAGCTGACTGATACTGCAGCCTCGTGTTTTCAACTTTTTGTCCCATGCTCTCTACTTCCTTCAGCTGAGTGACCTGGTGCCTTGAGAAACCAATTGATAGTACAGTTGTGCCACCAGCACACAGCACTGATTACCCGAGGTGCTATGGAAAACAGGTGGAGCAAACTCCTCCTTACTCTTACCTGTGCAGAGGAAGAAGGTGGATGGATCCCACCTGAACTGGTTGGGATGCACCTCACTTGCCTTGCTGTCTGTGCATCATGGAAATGCTGTCTGATCTCACAAAGATTTCTCAATCACAACGTTTTTAAGGAGTATTTTAGAGACTGTGGCTGCGCTGATGGGCGTTTTTCTCCTTATGTTTCAGACAGACTATTTTTACCCCTTCTTCCTCTTAGGAAGCCTCTCCTCCCTCCCTTCTCCCTGCCGCAGCACAAGGCACAGCACAACACTGACTACACAAGGGGCCTGGGCACTCCTGGTCCCCAGGTGAAGAGACTCAAGTTCTGCTGCCGTTCCTCCCATGGTATGACTATCACTAGGTCACCTCCTTCCCCATCCTCTGCACCTGCCTTCCCTTCCTTTTGTACAGTGCTCAGAGCCACAGCCTCCAGCCTCAGCTGAGGGCTCAGGCGGCCTGTACCCTGACAACTAATGATGACCCAAAGGGGAAATGGGTATTGGAGGGTTAACTGGAAGGTGCCCACTGATCCAATCCCCACTTTTCACCACTTAGGTTTTGTTGGCTGGATGTGCTTCAGCCAAGTGCAGGCAGGATGTCTTGCTGCTTCCATAGCTTTTTTTGTGCTCCTTTTGCTCCTTTATGAGGCGGTTTTATGTGTCAGAATCAAACTCCAAGGATTCTTCTTCCATTTTTGGGGGGATATGTTGGAACCACTGTAAAAGCCTGCTCTCTGTTTGCTTGACTTTTAAGATGTTCCTTGTTGTGATACCAGGCTACTTTCTAGGGATTGAAACCCATTATTTATTTAGAGATGAATCAGCATCATTTGGTCGCTGTGAGCTCACTGTGGCTGCCGCTGAAGCAGTGGCCAAAATGTAACAGAGGATCAAGGGTAATGAAAAGCACAGAACTGATGGGCCAAGGAGGATCATCCTGTTGCTATGGGTTTAGTTTTAGGGAAGGTTCATGCTCCCTTCCATGTGCCTGAACTTTTTCCTTCGTAGACTTTCCTCTCTTGGTATTAAGACCCTAGAGCAAGTTCTGGTCCTGTCCCAGTGACTGAAAGTGCAGCCACAAGGTCCACGAGGAGTGTCTGGCCCCAGTGTGTGCACTGATGCAGTAAGATTGCACCAAGGCTTTCCTGGAGTGACCGCTGGGATTTAACTACAGCAGAATTGGGTCAATGCTGTCATGTGCTACAGCAGTGAGGGACCCAGGTCTGACACGGGGCATGCAGGGCGTCTGGGAACCAGGGCCCAGGCTGGGGCGGAGATGAGAGGAGCAGAGCTGGGCACAGATCTGGGTCGAACTGTCCATCTGTGTGCTGCAAACAGGTCCCCCCAGGTGAGACCAGCTGCCATGGCAGGCTCAGAAGCTCTCCGCAGTGTTTACTGCAGTTAGTTGAATATTATAATGGATTGACTGAATGTAAAAAAAGGGGGAAAAAAAGAGGTGGGTTCTTGCTTTCAGCAATGTTATCTATGTCTGTTAGATAAAAGTGACAATGAACCACATCTATGGTATGTGTTGGCTTGCACTGTTGACTTTTTTTCCCCTCTGCACATCTCAGACATACATCCAATGCCAGATGGGAGCTGTTTTCCTGGCAGGACACATTTGCTCCACGGGCGGTAAATGCTGTGTGAGCACAGCAGTTTGTTAAATCCCTTTGAAATGCATGGTTCAAAGGCGAGACTGTGGGGTCAGAGGCAGCCCTGGAGCCAGTGGGAGGTGGTTCTGCAGGGATGAACCTGCACTGGAGGTGTGATGGTGTTTGGCCCCAGCCATCCCCCCTGCCCACCTGTAAAACCCTATTGTGAAGCACCTGTGCTTGCATGGATGCAGAAGCAGCTTAAAACTTGGTGCTGGGGCCTCTCAGGAGGAGCATTTGGGGAGAGGAGGTGGGGTTCAAAGCAGATTTGCTGCTGCTCTCCAGGAGGGCACAGCCAGGATGATCATACAGGTGGTCCAAAAGTATTTTGCTACACATCTGCTAAGTTTTCTCTTAATGCCTGAGGGTTATCAGTCAGTGACTCTGCCAACAACTCAGCAGTGAGAAGCTATTTATTGAGCAACACTGATCAGCCGGTCCTTGTGTCACTAGGTGAATGACAACAGAAAGCCTGATCCAATTACTGTAGTGCAGCACATAAATTAGTTTAACAAACCCCACAACATTAACACTACCCACAGCTATATTCCTGAACTTCCTGGAAGATCTGCCTGGGGGCTCAGAGGCACTTAAAGAGAGTCGAGTTTCAGGTTATGCTTCCTTGCAGCAGCTGCTGTGTGGAAGGGAAGGGAGTCTTCTCTTTCCAGCCTGGGGCAGGACGAGCAGAGCTCGGTGCTGCTGACCCCCTGTCCTCCCCATGAAAGGATCAAGCTGATATGCTGTGCTGAACTACAAGAGTGCTTTTACCATATGACAATGCAGAAGAGGTCATTTAAGTAGGTTAAATCTGCCAATGTGTTTACTTTTGTCTTGTCCCATCAGGCTGGTAATTAGGACTGTACACTTTATCTGTCCTTGCTACATGTGAGTTCCAGTTAAAATTTGTTCTTGAGACACAGTTTGTCAAATCACTATTTTTATCTCTCACCGTTACAGTTTTACTAAGTTGCTAATCATTAAGAAAATTTAAAGACCAAGTCAAACTTATTAGCTAAATGGTCATTGCATTTTAGTTAACATTCAAAATATGTTCTCATACTGTGCCTGGATAATAATGCAATATAATTAATAATCCCTGAAAAAGCATCTTGTCAGCAAGAGCTTTGACAGTGTTTTCCTAATGTGCTGAGATGACAGCCATTAAGACTCTCCTGTTGTGCCAATGACATCTACTCTCCCACTCTCTGGGCTTCATTTTAAAATTAGTTTGACTTCCCTAATTCAATAAACTCAGGACATTTGGCCCCATTAACACTCTCCACACTAATTTGTCCCAGATTTTTCTGCCTCACTTCAACTTGTTTTTCATCACTGAGAAGCAATACCCTCCACCTCTATAGTCAAACAGCTGATGAGGATGAAGTTAACCCAAGTACTACATATGCAGGACCAAGTCTTTGAGGTACTGATGCAAAAAGTGTTCAATGCCCTTATCTTTCCCTGAAATCTATGGAAGCTGAGGAATTTCAAGGCTGCACATCAGTTCTGGATCTGACAGAATGTGTAATCACAAGATTTAATTTAAGGTATCTAAGTGTGCTCAAGTGTTTCACTATAGCCTGGAGCAACACTGGTAAATTTTACCCAGAGGCACAGCCTTGAGTAAGCTGTGCTGAAAGGGGAGGAATCTCCTCCCCAGCAGAGGGGTAATAAATCCTGGCTGGAGATCAGCAGTCCTTAAATTTTACAGACTGTAGATACAACTGCAGACCTGAGCCTTAGTTAGTGCCCTGTGTTTTTTCTTCCCTGTATTCTGTCCAGGAGAGAAAGCAGCTCTGTGACTATGAAAATCATCAGTGTGGGATAAAACTGCTCAAGCATCATTGCAGACCCAGGAGGAGGGAACAGCTGGAGTTACTTTGTGCTTTCCCTCTTCCCAGTGGGAGTTACAGTAGCTCCTGCCAGCTCAGTGTTCCTGCACTTACTGCTTGCCTCTGATCCCCAGTGTGTGCCGAGGGTAATTCCCTGGGTAATT